TGATCAGTGATATCCATCGATTATGTAGGTGAACTTCCATCTGCACAGCAATCTCTTCAAATGGAACAATGGGGATTGGCACCTGTTCCATGATGCGATCAAGGTATGGGCATGAGCTTAATCTGATACACCTTTGACATTGATAATTTTAGTCCTGTGTGCCTTACATGCTGTGGTATCTTGCTATTGCAGAAACACCACTCCCAGTGACATGCCATTTGATCTCACCCTTGATAGGCACCTTGTGCAGGCTGCAAATTCCATTGCAAGAGAATTGGCCACAGCTGCAAGGGACCAATATGATGCAGCCTCTCAGGGCCTTTGACTTGTCAATATGCTTGATTTGATGGAAGTCATTCATTATCTGCATTCTGCCTTTGAAAATTGTCCCAAGCCATTCATCACCAGCCAATCACACCCATCTCACCAGTCTGTGGTAGAGATGGGTATCCTCTACTTGGCATGCCAGATTGAGGTGGCCTCTGTACATCTGAAGCAGACTGCCAATATTGCGGGATGGCCTGCACATTGGTTTGCCAACCTAGCCATGGACTTGGTAGGTTTTACATCAATTTTTCACAATGTGGGACTGATACATAATTCCTTTAGAATCAGCTTAATAGCTTGATTCTGGTGACAGTGTTGCATGCCAGTTATACTCCTCCCCTCCCAGGCATGCTACCATGCATACCTCAGACACCAAGATGATGAGGTTAGCTTCTGTGATCAAATGCAGCTAATTCCCCTTAGCACATTTAGCATAATCGACAATATCAGTGCCATCATCCTGCATTGGACCCACACACAGCTGATCCCAATTCTGGCTTTGCATTCCCTTGGTGGCTATACCATTCCAAGGAATATGCAGCAGATTCCCAAAGATTGCAAGGCAAGGGATTGTTTTCTGTGGCCTGGGATTTTTTTAAGGTATGCTGCTTATTCTCAGTTGCTCCAAATAGTTGATGATGGCCCAGGGCTTATGGCCATTGCCTGAGGCACCAATCACAGACCATCTTGATGGCCATATTGAGGAGCAGGTAAACTACTGCATTGAAAATATTTGGAAATATGCCAATGTTGTCAATGGTTGGGGTCAACAAATTGACCATTTCTACACTAGGTGGTGGGCATTGTGTGGATTGTTGGGCATGCCACTTCAATAATATACATGTTTTTGACTGTGGAGTTGGTTGAATATACATTGCTGTAAATGTTGATCATTTATGAGATGCCACCCATTCACATCCTTGGATGATGTGGAGGCATAGTAATTAGATTGATCATTTCAAAACACAGGTCTGACAAGTACATACTTACACAAATTAGTTTTGCATTGAGAAGAGTAAAACTATTATTGGTGGGCTCATTGCCTCTCAAGCTGTGGACTATACAGACATGAATCTAACAGGGTGGATGCATTTTACACATGCACATGCATCCCTGATCGGGGAACGGGCAGATTTAGTACTGTTTCCCCAACATTGCAACCAAAGTTCACCATCCCAATCAGCAGCCTGTTGGTGGGTATGGTACATCATGTGACTGTAAGATGTGGGTTGATGCAGGTCCACTAGTACTGTGATTGTCACCAATGGCTCATGCATGACACTTCAGTGCATCCTGTGCCTTGTACATACTGGGAACTTCCTGAGTGGTGAAATGGCAGAGAACAAAAAACCCTGTCAGTGAGGAGGCCCCTACTCAGGCCATCATGCAGATGGGCAGGGGTTCAGACATCATGTGAATGGGTGGCATCTCATAAATGATCTTATAAATGATCAACATTTACAGCAATGTATATTCAACCAACTCCACAGTCAAAAACATGTAAACTATTGAAGTGGCATGCCCACCACCTAGTGTAGAAATGGTCAATTTGTCAACCCCAACCATTGACAACATTGGCATATTTCCAAATATTTTCAATGCAGTAGTTTACCTGCTCCTCAATATGGCCATCAAGACAGTCTGTGATTGGTGCCTCAGGCAATGGCCATAAGCCCTGGGCCATCATCAACTATTTGGAGCAATGAGAATAAGCAGCATACCTTGTTTATTTTTTCTGCAGTTTATGATGCACCCTTTAGCTCTGAGTACCTGCCCAATCTATGATGTCAAAGCACCCACCCATTTGCAAAATCTTGGCAACACCACCCATCCAAAGTTCAAGAGCCAGCATATCCTAATAAAATATGAGATCTGCATTGCCTACTAAAGCTTACATTAAATTTTGCAGCTTCAAATCAACAGTTGTCCAGTTGCAACTGGTCTGGGTAGTAGGTCATCCATCTGTGGTGATTGACACATGGGAATGTGCACCAACTGATGTACATTGGCATGCATGTAGTACACTAGGCATGCTCTGTCACTGTCTACAGCTCCCACCCCATGCTCCAGTGCTGAACCTGAAAATGCAATGATCATCCCTGGGTTGTAGCACAGCCACAGATTCAATGTTGGAATGACAAAGTCCAAGGGTGGGTAGTTGCCCACGGTTACCAGCATGTCATACCATGGATCCCATCCATTGATATCCCTGTGGTAACAAGTTGCCTGATTCACCATCACAGACATGCTGCTATATGTGGAGCTCCATATTGACAGTATGGAGCTCATATCTGAATCCACCCACTGTTCCACCTGTTTGCCAAGGTGGATCAATGCTTCCCTGCCATCTGCATACATTCATGGATGGATGACATGCAGGATCGCAGATAACAGGGCATTGGTGTCAGACATTTGGTTGACCCATTCCCTTGTAGAAGTGTTTTCCATCCTGGATTTGAGCAGCTGTGAGGCTTCCAGGAAGCCATTTTGGGGCTTCAAGACAGATGAGCACTTTATTCACAAGGAAAGAAATGATCACCCACCCCATGACCCTGTTGAAACCATGCAGGTGACAGGTTGATGGCGCCTTTCAACTCAGCATCATCACAGAAATATGACTTGTCCATCCACCATGCCTGTGGGGAAGCCTTTATGCTCTCCCACAGTGGTTCCCTCAGAAGATGAAGGCAGTTCCATATGTTGGCCTGCCATTGCATTAAGTCAGTAGAATATGAGATTCTGCATTCCCTTACTCTTCTTTTTGGGCTGAGAGTGTCTGGCAAATACCAAATGCAGATAGTGTTTGAGTCAGTCACCAGAATGGACGGCTCAGTCACTTCTGTGTATCTCTCAGCAGCTTCCGCATTGCAGGTTTTTCCACCCCAATTACTCACAATGTTGACTGCAGAAAGATGAAAACTTCCATCACACCATTATGATGGACTTACTTGGATGATGGTAGGCCTGTGAGATTACTGACAATATGTGATCCACTTCACATAACACCAGAAACAGAATTGATATATCTGGAAGGGTGCAAGGTCTGCTGAATACCTCCTCTTGAAATCTGGCTTTCATGTATGATGCAATGCAGTCTGTTAGTTCCATTTGCCATCCATGGGGGGTTTTAGATGTGTCTTGCATAGTATTCATGTTTGGGGTGGATGAGGTTGGAGTTGTATAGTGGGCAAGCCACTTGCAGCTTGTTGGAAAATTATGGCATGTCAGGATGCTTGCCTCAATATTTTGCTGTGATCCAATCAATATGTTGTGATGCTATATGTGCTATTGGTGTTGGGCCTGTCTTATGTTGCAACAGGGGTGGATCTTACTAGATGGACCTGTCCTTGTTTTATGGTGATATAAAAGATATTACTGAAGGGCCTGTCCATACATTATGACCATATAAATAATACTGCTGAAGGGCCCATCCTTATGTTGTGACCACATAAATGATACTGCTGAAGGGCCCTTCCATATGTTGTGATGCTATAAATGATATTACTGATGGGCCCATCTTTATGTTGTGACAGGGGTGCATCTTACTAGATGGGCCTGTCTATGTGTTGTGACACTGTAAATGATATTACTGATGGGCCCATCTCATGTTGCAACAGGGGCATATCTTACTAGACAGGCCCATCCATCTGTTGTGACAATGTAATTGATATTGCTGAAAGGCCTGTCTTTATGTTGTGATGTGGGTGCATCTTACTAGATGGGCCTGTCCATGTGTTGTGACCCTGTAAATGATATATATTGAAGGGCCTGTCTTTATGTTGTGACAGGTACATCTTACTATGGATAGGCCCACCCATGTGTTGTGATGGTATAAATGGTATTACAGAAGGGCCCATCCATATGTTGTGATGCTATAAATGACATTACTGATGGGCCCATCTATGTGTTGTGACGCTGTCAATGATATTACTGACAGGCCCATCCTTATGTTGTGACAGGTGCACATCTTGCTATGGATGGGCCCATCTATATGTTGTGACAGGGGTATATTATCCCAAAGATGGGCCCTTCCATATGTTGCCAACTCTGTAATCTGTCATAGATGGGCCCCTCTTTATGTTGTGACCCTATAAAGCATATGACAGGCAGGCCCGTCCATATGTTGCGACCTTCTTCATGATACAATAGGTGGGCCCGTCCATGTCTTACAGTAGCTTAGCATACTTACTTGGTCATGGGCCCATCTATATGTTGCAGCATCCTTACCCTCCACAGGCCCTCCCATATGTTGTGGAATTGCATTTACAGGCCTGTATGTATGTTGCTCTCACTATAGGCCCTCAGGCCTGTCCATGTGTCATGGCTAATCTATTTAGATGGGCCCATCACAGGGTCTATATAAGTGTTGGCATTTTGGCATGCAGGCTACCTATATGTTGTGACTAAATGGACTACATGGGGTCAATATGAAACTGATGATAGGAATCACCTGGATACAAGTAGTGGCATTCAATGCACAAATACAGGCATAGACATTGCAAGATGCAACTGACTAACTGATGTTCCCAAGCAAGTCTTTTCTGTTCTTCAGTTCCCAGATGTGGGCTGTGCATGATGCGAAGCACCTGCACGAAGCCATGAGCTTCCTCGATGCAAGCCATAGATACTCCATGAACTCACCACTTCAAAAGGGACCAAGCAGCTGGGGGAGTCTAAGAATCCATATCCTGCGATCTCGCTGTTGGGTTCTTTAATAAAAACTGCTTCATCGCAGCGATCTAGGGGCCAAAGTCATCAGTCCGGTGTCCCACGTTATCAAGACACACGAAACAAGTATACACACCGGAGGAAGCCTCTCCAGAAGCGTTATTATCATCTTACACATCTGTACAAGTGTACAATCACCGTCAATGACTGCCAGCCACAAAATAACAGCTGAAGATTTACCTCCTGATCAGGTAGAGCATCAAAGTTGCACAACCCGTTGTCATCGACTATGACAGTGCTACCTTGGGGAACTGGGACATGTAGGCCCATTCCACACGGGAAGGGCTCCTCAAGAGCGCCCTCCGCTGCCGCAACATATGCTAGAGAGACCAATAAATCCATGGTCTCTGTGTTGGTGGCGACTTCGTACTGCAGAGCACGGAGGGTAAGGGATAAGAAACATCAAGTGGCGCTGCACAGGTGATGTACATACCTCCAAGGAAGGACCAAAATTCAGTGCCTAGTACTGGAATATGCAGAGATTCGAGCTATACATGTATGGTTTCAGAATTTCGTATTTCTCGTTTTCGAATCATTTGTGACATATGACACAATTCCAGCTGCAGAGCTGGACTAAAGTTGAGAAGGTATCAGGTAAGTTATGCCTCCATGGGATCAGCAGGCAGCTGGTATGAAGCAGATAATTTCCTCTCAGCCTCGTCTGCATTAGATAACATCTACAACCCATCAAGTCGTTCAAAAGTTAACCAGAGAAACCGTGCACACCTCCTCTTTCCTAGAAAAAACATTCTCGGGATCATCTAGTGCAGCTTCAGACTGCCACAGCAACTCTTCTGCAGCAGCCCAACTCAACTCGATCCTCCTCCTCAGCCAGATCAAGCAAAGTAGATACCTGTCCAATAAGTCCTCTAGTGAATCACTCAAGCCCATTTTCCTGAAAGCACCTGGACCTGTGTAGTGGCAACAGCAAAGTGAGGCACTTGCAACAACACTACACAAGGAGCTTTCCTGTGGTTACCTCGAAGTTCCAAGACACCAAGGTCTGTATTTCTGGTATGTAGGAAAATTCCCCCCGTATGTTAAGATACATGGCCCTTTTTATAGTAGAGAGAACAGGCATGCAATATCAGTAAGAATGGGTGTGAATAAGAACTAGATCAATCACAAATGAGATATGTAGAAGAAATGTCAAAAGAATATTGAACAAGTGACATGCAGCTGACAGCATTGGTCCAAACCTTACAACCCCCCCTCCAGGGTACAAAGTACCCTTCCTTTGTAGCAGGAGTCCTCAGGCAGTGTTTCCAGTGACAGCTTTGTCAGCAGTCCCCAAGCCAGCCACTGCAGCATCTTCCTCAGCACCTGTGACAGCTTTACCTGGCTGAGTCATGCTCTCATCGAAAGTATCACCAAAACCCTTGACATCGCAGGCATCAACATTGAGCAGATCTATGGTGAGATGGCTAGGGCCTGTGACAGGTAAGTTGGCGAAGTTTTAGAAGAAAGGATTGGTGCTTGTGGCAGCAGATGATATGCTCACAGCAGGTGTTGCCTGGTGATTATGGGCTTTAGATTGCTCATGGTGCTGGGCTGACTGAGAGAGGGGCTTGGAAGACTTCCCCATTTTTGCTTTATCTGAGTGTCAATCACCAAAGGGGGATGCGCCAGGATGTCCACCAAAAGGTCCTCTTTCAAAACAGCCCTTGCCTCTTTTCTCTTGTTGCTCTAGGAAGCCATGCATGGTGCATTTGTGTTGACACCCAACCTTGTCGGCAGCCTCCCATAGCAAACTATGCAGTGTAACTGCCTCTGCACCATTAAGTACTTGTCCACCCTCAATCTCCTCTTTACTTCGCAGATCCATGTTGGTTCCAAGAACCTCTTCCCTAGCAGGTGCTGGGCCCATGATCACAGTGCAGGCATTTGGGCTGGGTTCATGGTAAGTGAAACATGACTTCGAGGTAGTGGACTGGTTGTACACCTCTTGGAACTGATGATACCCCACAGGTACATCAAGTGGGTCACCATTATTTCCTCACAACACCCTATCATAGGTAAAGTAAGCTTTCATCTGCTCATAATGGACCAGCATGCACTGTTCTGCCTCCCCAAGACCAGTGGGAGCCCACACAGCAAAGAAGTCTGGGCTGATTTGCTCTACAGATAAGAAGCAGGTGGGGGTTGTCATGTCAGGTGAGTGGTGATCAGCAGTAGGTGGTTTGTCTATGTCCAGGCTGAGCAAGTTGCTAATGATGTCTGCTAGTGTGCATCGGAGTGTCTCTGAGGCATCAGGATCTAAGTCTTGTGGACATGTGGGTTGAGTGTCAAGCAGTGACTGGGGTGAGCAACCCTTTGACTTTCTTTTCAGGTAGGAGGTTGATTTATGACTACCACAGGAGCATGCTGGACAATATATGTGAGCAATGGCTTTGGCCAAGTGTGCAGGGGGTTTATGATTAGCAAACTTTGGTTGCAACATGCAAGGAGGTCTATGATTGGTACATTCACCAAACCACCCTCAATTCCTACATGAGCTGACAGCAGGTGATCTAGGCTGTGTGTGGGCTCTGGCTCTCCCTTGTGTGGATGGAGAGTAGTGATGATGTTGATGTGGCTGATGACTATGATGGCAAGGAGGTGAGCAGGAATGATGAGGCTGGGGCATGTGACAAGGGTAGGCAGTATGAGGTGGAGGCATGCATTGTTGGGGATGGGTACAGCAATTTCAATTGGGGGTTTGTCTGACTGACCTGGGGACCTGGTGAGCAGACAGATTTCTATTGTTGTGCAGGTGGTTGTTATAGGTTCCACTGGGGTGAGGTACCAAGTGTCCAAGGAACACCTGGGGGTCATCCTCGGATGATCCCCCATCACCCTTATCTCGCAACTCATTTATCCCATCTATCCCCAAGGCCTCGAAATAATCAGCTAGCACCTTTAGATGAGTGACCTCATCAAATGGTAACCATGTTCGGTCTCTGGCTGTCCATTGCACCTCAAATGTTGCCTCTGAGTGGCTGCCATGATGACTTATTATCTGGTTGACAGCCCATTCTCAGCTTGTTCCTCCAAGCTCAGGGATTTGATCATCCTTCTGCCCAGGGAACTTTTGATTGTCATTTGGTATGTGCACTCATAGAAATGACAAATGAAACACATCATGAATGCCTCTTTGTTTCAGGTTATCAGGTAGTTTGACATGATAAGAATTATTCCCAAAGTCATCCAAAATGCAGTATGGCCCAATAAACTTCAGTACGAGTTTTTGTGATGTCCCCTTTGACAAGCTAATATTCTTCATGGAGACATATACAAGGTCACCTGTAACAAAGGGACACACTCGGCACTTTTTATTAGTGCCAACCATCTGTTTCAATTGCACCTTCAGAATTGCATTGTGAGCATCCAACAAGGTGAGTTTCATTTTATTGGCAAATGCTCATATGCTTGGGTACTCATCTCTCGTTGGAGTGTCCCATATCATCCATCAGGGCATCCATCTGGTATTCAGGAAGAATGGTGCATAGCCTATTGACTCTGACATCGCATTTATTGATCATGAACTCAATGGCAGGTAGGCATGACACCCAATCTTTCTGATTTGGCCCAATGCAGCATCTCAGCATCTGGGCAATGGTTTGATTGGTGCATTCAGTAGCGCCATCTGTTTCTGGATGGTATGCACTCAACATCTTCTGCTTAATCCCAATTAGTTTGTTAAGGCATTTCCAGAATGTACTTGTGAATAAAACATCATGATCACTAACAATTGCTCGAGGTAAGCTGTGATGTTTATACACTTCAGCAAACATTAATTCTGCTACTTCATGGGCAGTGTATGTCATTTGACTTGGCACAATGTGTACCATGGATGTTAACAAGTCAATGATCACTGTTATCAAGTCATATTCACCATTGCAATCTTTGGATTTGGGGAGTGGTCCCACGAAATCTACTCCAATTGCTTCCCAAGGCCTGGATGGTACAGTGAGTGGGTTCAGCAGTCTGAAGGGTTTATGAGTCAGCAGTTTGCTTTGTTGGCATGTCTGACATGATGTGCAGTACATGGTGATGTCCTTTACCATAGAGTCCCACCATAAGAACTCTTGTATGTAGGATACCACTTTTCTAGCACCTAGATGCATGAGTAGGGAATGAGCTTGATCAATGACCATTTCCCTTAGTCATTTATTGTTTACTGCAATGTCTGGGACACAGAATACAACATGGTCTTGCAATCTTAATTGAATAAAACCATCTGGTGTGATTTCAAAGTTCTTGAATGCCTTCAGGGCATCCAGTATCTGTTTAAAGAATGGGTCTTCACCATATCTGTTCTGTGCTTCCCTAAGTACACCTTCATTTCCTGGGTACACAATGAGGGGCACAAGATTCATTTCTGTATTACCTGCCATGCTTGTATCGCTTGTATCATCTAGTTCCCATGCACTCGGCAATGAGCTCTGTGTGTCTGGCAATGTGTCTGTAGCATGTTCAGGGGGTGGTCCACTACACTTTCACCCCTTCTTTCGTTCACCTGGTCCAAGAAGAATGAAATGATCCTTCATTCATTGTGCAAACTCAATTCTGGTCTCCAGTCAACCAGTCTCAGCTGGGGGTATAAGAGCATGGTGTCACTGTGTGGGTCCCTTTCCTGTTCCCTCTGGCTGATCCTTAGCAGGAACTTTTATCTTACCACCCTCATCCTCAGGCAGATTTGGGTCTATTGTTGGCATGGAATGTTGCTTCCCGATCGCCAGTGTGGGAGGTCTCCTTGGAGGTTTTAGCACCAGCTTCCATTGGTGAGCTGATGGTTGCTCCATTGGCAAAGGCCCAACAGGGGCATCAGTTTGTGCACAAGCCCTGGTAGACATTGCGAGTGCCTCAATGCCTACATACAAAGGTGAGCTTATTATCTGCTGCTTCTCCTTTGGTGGTACTGTCTCCTCGATGTCCAGGTCATGATGCAGGTATTCACTATGTGCATGGATTGTCCTGGGAGCATCAAACTTGTACATTTGGGAAAGAGCATCCAGAAGAACATTCTCCTCTCCTGGTACATACCTGATTCCAAAAGTCAAATTCAGCTAACTTCTCCAACCATTGTGCCTGTTGCCCAGACAAGTCTTTCTGATCCAACAGATATGTCAGGCTTTTGTGGTTGGTTACCCAAGTGAAATGTACACCTTGGAGGATGTCCCAGTGCTGCAACATTGTTTCCACTCCTGTGAGGAGTTCCTGTTTGTGGACTGGGTAGTTGTGCTGAGCTGAAGACATCTTTGCAGAGTAGAATGCGGTGACTTTGGCCAACTTCCAATCCACTCCTTGTGCTACAACACTGCCAATGCCATTCCCACAAGCATCAGTCATTACCCAGACAGGATTGCAGTCTGGTCCATAATTGAGGGGTACATGACAGTGTTGTGCACAAGTGGCAACATATTGCTTTACAGTTTCAAAGGCCCATTGCTCAGTGAACGTCCATTGAAAGGGGCAAGTCTCTGTGCTTGCTTTGGTGAGCACCCCTAGAGGTACATGGACTTTGTAGATATCATCTGTGAGGTAACCAACTGACCCGATGAATCCTTTACACAGTGTATGATTTGTTGAAACCTTCCAGTTGAGGATGCGGTCAACTTTATCAGGATCCATCTTTATCCCATCATTGGTGACCACATGGCCCAGGATTTTTACCTTGTCACTCAGAAACTTGAGCTTCTTTTTGCTCAGGTATAGCTTTTCTCAGGTGAGTATTTCCAACACAGTCTTGACATGTTGGATGTGCTCTTCTAATGTGTCCAAATAGATGATAATGTTGTCAAGGTATATGTCCATGAAGGAGCCAATATACTCCCCAAAAATGTGATTCATCAGGGCTTGATAAGTGGCTGGTGCATTACAATCTCCTTGCTGGACGACGAGACTGACCATGTTTCTGTCAGGCATTGTTACT